GCGGTGGGGTTCCAATAACCAACAGACCCTACGGGCAGAGCTTTACACCGGCGTAGCAGACGCATATCTGGATGAGACTACCTTGGTTTTAGGTGAGGGCGAGGGTATAATATCCGAGTACAATCGAGAAACTCGCCGTTTACAACCCCCAAGGTCTACTCGCACTACAGAACAGCATTTCTTAGAGCGCGTTGGCAAGAAAATCATTCTCCCAGCGACATTCACTGGTGGGCCCAGGCAGATGTACAAGTCTTATCAGGACTCAATGGCGATTGTTCGCGAATACGGAAAACCGGATATATTTTTAACGATGACGTGCAATCCGGAATGGGAGGAAATTGGCAGCGGTATTCCTGGCGGCTATACCGCACAGGACCGTCCTGATTTAGTAGCCCGGGTTTGGCAGCTAAAACTCCGCGCCCTGTTGAAGGATTTGGACGAGGGAGTACTTGGTCGCGTCCAAGCTCGCATTTACGTTGTTGAATTCCAAAAGCGAGGCCTCCCTCACGCGCATATCTTGATCATTTTGGCGGACGACGACAAACCACGGACACGAGATATCATCGACAAAATGGTCTCTGCAGAGATTCCCGACGAAGTCAGCAACCCAGATCTTTATAAGACAGTGATGACGTGCATGATGCATGGTCCATGTGGACACATAAATCCCCAGTGCGCCTGTATGAAGGACGGCAAGTGCTCCAAAGGATTTCCAAAACCTTTGGCGGAGATTACACGAGCAAATGTTGATGGGTATCCGGTCTACAGGCGTCGCCGTCGGTCGGAGGGTGTGTTAAAATTTCGAGGTCGAGAGTACGACAACGCGACGGCAAACCAATGGGTTGTACCTTACAATCCGTACTTCTCTCAGAAGTACAACTGTCATATCAACGTGGAGATTTGTACGGCTATCACGGCTGTGAAGTATCTATACAAATATGTGTACAAGGGTTCCGATAAGGCAGTACTCACGGTTGAAGCCGTGAGGGGGGATGGTGAGCAGAGGGGCAGACCACGCGACGAGCCAAATGAGGTGTTGCGGTATCTCAATGCACGGTACATATCTCCTGTTGAAGCCTGCATGCGGCTTCTTGACTTTACCGTTCAAGGAAAGAGTCATTCCGTCGAGCAGCTGACAGTGCATCTGGAACAGAGGCAGATGATTGCCTTTCGGACTAGCGACCGACCTGAGACCGTTCTCGCGAATGGCGAGCACACGATGCTTACTTGCTTCTTCGATTTGTGTGCCAGCGAGGCCCCGGAAAATCAAATCGCAAAAACAATGCTTTACCAGGAGGTACCGAAAAAATTCAGTTGGAAGGATAAGCAATGGACCCGTCGAACCAAATTTCAAGCATCGCTCGGAAGACTGATTCACGTGTCGATACGGGATGCTGAGCGGTTTTTTCTTCGCGTGATGCTGTGTCATCGCAGAGGTCCAACTTCATTCGAAGATTTAAGGACGGTAGGTGGCGTTGTTCACCCGAACTATGAGACGGCTGCCCTGCATGCCGGCTACCTTCAAAACGACGAAGAGTGGGTTGCGTGTATGACCGAGGCTGCCGCATATCAAATGCCCTACCAGCTTCGCCAGTTGTTTGCTACGCTTTTGGTGTACTCAATGCCTACCGATGTTCGCGGTTTGTGGAATACGTTCTACAAGGATTTGTCTGAGGACTTTCTACACAGATACCGCAACCTGCTCGATCCAGTTCGGGGTTCCGTTGTTATGTTCGAGACACTGAAAAGTATTAACGACCTTTTGCGAGTTAGCGGGTACTCCGTTCCAGATTTTGATCTACCTCAACTCAGCGATCATCCAAGATTAGTACTCCAGTCTCTTCAGGAAAACTCACTCATTCGCCGCGAGTTAACAGGATACGACCGGGCTACGTTGGAGGAAATTGTGCGCGCTGGAAGTCGACTCAATGCTGGGCAACAAGCAATCTATGGCCAAATCACTGCCGCAGTAGGCGATCCGGCGGTTGGCAAAAAGCTGTTCTTCATTGACGGACCTGGGGGAACAGGAAAATCTACCTTACTTCGACACATACTGACAAGGGTGCGGCTCGACGGCAAGATTGCTCTAGCAGTTGCGTCCAGCGGGATCGCGTCACTACTTCTTATGGGCGGGAGAACAGCACATTCCACCTTCAAGATACCACTGAAGTTAGACAAGGACTCGACTAGCTCTATTTCCAAACGATCACATTTGCGAAAACTGATCGAGAAGGCGAGCTTGGTTATCTGGGATGAAGCACCGATGACCCAACGGCATGCATTTGAAGCCGTGGATCGGACGCTACGAGACATCCTGAGCAACCCCCGCGAGCCTTTTGGGGGTAAGGTGTTTGTTCTTTCTGAAGATTTCCGGCAAATTCTTCCGGTTGTAAAGAGAGGCACGCCTGCGGAAACAATTGATGCCTGTCTCAAGTCATCCGAGCTTTGGCCTTATTTCCAACAAGTGCGGCTTTGGGAGAACATGCGCGTCCAAACAGCGGATAACCTGACAAGCGCTGACGATATTGCTCAATTTTCAGAGTTCTTGCTAAGGGTCGGAGAAGGGAGACACGAAATCGACCGGAGAGTTCTTGAAACTACCCCGTGATATGCGACTGGATAACCCTCCGGAGGAGCCAGATGAAGATGCTGACATTGCGCCTGGTACAATTCCAAAAGGAATGGCCAGAATGATTGATTTCATGTATGCTGATGTGAACGATCCTGATGTCGCTACAGACGAGTACTTCGCCAACCGTACAATCTTGACGACAACTAACGCATTGGTCCACCGCATCAACGAGGCGGTTTCGGGTCGACTTCAAACGACCGCGCATGAATACCTATCTGCTGACTCCGTCGAAGACGATGACGGAAGTGTCTTCGAACAAGAGTTTCGTCATTCCGTCAACATTAACGGAATCCCGCCCCACAGGCTCATACTCAAGAAAGGCATTCCCGTCATGATGATGAGAAATCTGAACCCGGATTTGGGGCTTTGTAACGGTACGCGCCTGAGGATCGTTGACCTAAAGCCACACGTCATTCACGCAACAATCATGACGGGGGAGCGGCGGGGTCAGCATGTTCTAATTCCGCGGATTATTTTTGTCAGCGACGATGATACTCGAGAGTTTCCGTTTCGCCTACGTCGAAAGCAGTTCCCTGTACAGCCAGCGTTTGCAATGACTATCAACAAGGCCCAAGGTCAAACCCTTATGAATCTAGGGCTATATCTTGCTACACCGTGTTTCTCACATGGCCAGCTGTACGTCGCCCTATCAAGGGTTACATCACGCTCGAATTTTCGAGCCCTCATTGAATATCCGGAACAGGAGGAGGAAGATGGAGTCTACACAAGCAATATCGTTTCCCGAAATTTTTTTGACATGTAAGCACTTTTTTTTACATTTTACTTCGTTACATCATTAAAAAATTAATTTAAAAAGTAAAACATGAGGCACCGGATTGGGAGCGAATTATTAAGTCTCGCTGCTATTTTCGATTTAGAAATCATTGTTTGTCCCACCCCTACTCCCCACCCAGCCGGAGCGAAGCGGAGGCGGAAAAAAAAGGGTGATTTAACAAAAACTACCGCCGCGTAGCGGCGGCGCTCGGCTAGTTGTAAGCAACTCCCGCCAGCAGAAGCGCGCCCGTCGCTCAACCAACGCTGCGGCGACGGATGGAAAATCAATTGCGTCTGTCGTTTTCTTTTGATTTTTGTATTACTAATATCACAGAATTCTGGCCCGCTGCACATGTTTTGTGATGGCGTTGTTATGCACTTTCCGGACACGTCTCTGCTCTGCAATTGAACGACCTGTCACAATTATGTACTCACTTTGCTGCTCATCATACAGTATTAGTGCAAACATGTATACTTTCAGGCGTCAGTTTGGACCATACACCATAGTGAAAGATGTCTTTCACGATGTTTAGGATTAGCATGGGTCTATCACAAATACACGTTACCAAACTTTATATTGTTCTGCATTCTAACCCTTACCCGCAGATACGCGCTAGAGCGCCTAGGGTTTAGGCAGCAAGGGGGTACGGTACTACCTCGGGCTCAAGGGGTTAAATATATTATCCCTTTGCCTCCAATAACCGCTCTTGGGAGTAAATTACATGCCAAATCCTGCCTGGAAGCCTCAGATACGATATCACACTTAAATAGGAAGTGAATAAAGGAGTCATCCACTCCCAATAACGACTCTGGCCTTCGATTTCTGTACTTGCCAAATCCTAGGTTCGTCTCGCTAAAAGATGTCAGACCGCCGTCTCGACAATCCTTACAGTATTTGTAGCTACCCATGTACCGGCATGGGCAGCCGAGGCACCCCCTAAGAGCCCACCAAAAATCTTAACACACTCTGAGCCAACGAAATGATGGCTCTCATCCTTGTCAATGATAAGGAAGTGTCGCTTGGAAGGGGTGTTTTAATAACACCGCGGGTTAACATTAGGTCGATAGCCAGGGCACGGATAAACTTGCGTTTTACCTAAAGCCACCCATTCTTCCTTGTCCTTTGCTGCATGCCAGAACCACCCAGACGAGTGATACTGGCCAAGGTCGCCGAGGGCATCCTTCCAAATCGTAAGCGTGGTGGCGTCAGTCATTGTCTGTCTATATGTGGCTTGACTTTCTATGTGGTAAAAAAAATACTTCGAAGTACGGTAATTAATTAGCCAAGTTTCGGTTTATGTCTTAAGTTCGGCTTCGTTGCTGTTAAGTTCGTCTTCTTGCGCGTACGAATTTGGTCCCTATTTTTATCGTCGTACCTTTTTTGATAGGTTAGACGTAGTAGTTCTGCGCTGCTTTGATGCGCTCTTTGTTAGCGAGATATTGGTCGGTAAATACGTCTTTTTTTGGCTATACCTTTAGATTCAACAGGATTAAAAATAAATTAATAAAGTGTCAAAAGTAAGTTTATTTCTTTCATCCACGACCACCATTGCAGAAAAATTCACGTGGCTTTACTTCCACTACGCAATACAGACTATATCTCAATTTTTATTTCACCTTCGGTATCAGGCGTCAACGAAGACGGTAATTGGTGGATTATCCCTTGAAATGTGAAGCCATAGGATTGATACTGCTCGTTCTTTGCTGAGCCATCGAGTCCACCACCAATATATCCCACTGGTACTCCCCTTTTGGTGCACACAATCGCGCTTCCAGATAGACCAGGAGCTGACAAAGATGAGAGAGTCATTCGGTTTTCACACCAAGCGGTAATTCTAGCTGGAATGATGGCGTAAGCGTGACCAAAATCTTGGTCTTGAAGAGCGCCAGGGAATCCGAACACGTCAACACTCATCGTGTCATACACCGTAAGGGACGTATTACATCGGATGAGCTTGTTATCTAGTGGCACAGCAACTTCGAAGATTGCGAAGTCGAACACCGCCGAACAACGCCAGCATGTGTCCTTGTCAAGGCTGAATCGAGTGACTTCTTCCGGCTTCGTCGTAGTGGGAAGGAGCTGCTCCACCACAACTTGAGGCTTATCGGATAAAGCTAGTGTTTTCATCGCTGCCGTCCGTGTAGATTTACGACGTGGTTGCGTTGCAACATCGGCGTCCTTCACATCAGCATCTTTCCGTTTCCTTCCACTTGTTTTCATTGAGGGGTGAAGTCTCAAGTACTGTTTGATTTGAATCTTGAAGTCAGCACTCAAGTGATCAGCGAAGGTGGCGTCTGTCCACAGGTGCAAGCTCGTCATAAGATACAAGTGCGTCGGCGTTTGATCCACAACCAGCGCCGTTCCTGAGCACACATCTTCCGAGGAAACTCTCACAACTGACTTCCACATATTCAATTGAACATCAGGATCCAGGGTGCACAAGTCATTTGGGCTCAATGCGTAATCGTCTCCCGTAGACCGTGGAACCACCACCAGCACGTGGATTTGGGAAGTTGATGGAGGATCCATTTCGATCAGCACGTCCTCCAACGAATCTTCTCCCTGTAACTCTTTGTCTTCATTCGTGAGCGCTTCGATGAGAGCAGTCTTTTCGCCCTTCTTCAGCTTCGTTGCGTCGTTCAAGCGAGAAGGGAGCCACTTGTTGTCCGCTGTCTTTGCCAGGAAGAGCTTCAGCTTGTATGCATCAACGTTCCTTAAGTCGTTCTTCTTCTCCGCCTTGACCGCCTTCTTCAAGTCAGCCACCGAGTCGCTCTTGTCCACTCGCACCGACAACACGCTTTCCGCCACACCCACCACAGCACACAAGAGTTTCACCATCTTTCCTTGAGGCGGCAGATTCTCGAATGAGAGAGAAGGGCATCCTTCAAAATCGTAAGCGTGGTGGCGTCATCAGTGTCTAAAAGTGAAAAGGGCATCCTTCAAAATCGTAAGCGTGGTGGCGTCAATCAGTGTCTAAAAGTGAAAAGGGCATCTTTCAAAATTGTAAGCATGGTGGCGTCAATCAGATACGTGGCTTGACTTTCTATGTGGTAAAATTTTTTTTTAGCTAACTTCGGTTTCTGTGTTAAGTTCAGCTTCGTTGCTGTTAAGTTCGTCTTTCGGCTTCCGCTTGCGTGTACGAATTTGTTCCCTATTCTTATCGTCATACCCTTTTGATAGGTTAGACGAGCTTCGCGTGTGCGCTTGTAGTAGTTCTGCGCTGCTTTGATGCGCTCTTTGTTAGCGAGATATTGGTCGGGTAAATACGTCTTTTGGATATAAAACGGATGGACATTCCCACAATAATCCTGACAAATA